GACACCAACACTTCAGTCATGTTCTGACAGAACTTACTGAAAATATTATAAATGATGTCTTTATCAGGCTTAATTTATTCAAGTAAAAAAGAGTTCTGAGATATTTCATGGATCACATCTGTTTGTTGTTATTGTTTGTCATGTTTTAGGGTTACGTGTGTGGTTCTTATGTTCCTCTGTTTATTCTCTCAGGTGTTTTTGACAGCTAGTTTCTGTTTCCTCAGTCACTCAAAGCTGGTCCCAGTTTGCTTGTCACAGCTGCAGCCACTCTTCTCATYGGGCCTCAGTCCTTATGTCCCATCAGAGGTAAGTATTCTTTATGTTCTTGTTATATTCTACATATTTTTATTATCTTTTGTTCATTTTTTGTGTTCTAGTTCCCTTGTCCCTGTTCTTCTGTTTCTCCTGTGCCATTTCTCAATCGATCGCTCGTTTGTTGTCACTCAGTCAGCCCAGCATGTTGTCACCAGCCTCTGCTCTGTRYATTCAGTTCTCTGCCTCCACTCCTCAGGTCAGAACTGTCATGTTCTCCCCTTGTGGTCTCCTGGTTGTTTTCATTGTAAGTAGGTTTTGCTGCACAATGGCTTTTATTTTCTTCTTAATACTTTTGCTTTGAGTTCTTGGACCTTTACAGTCGTTACAGTTCTTTGTGCTCTTCTGGGTTTTTTCATGAGTCTTTGTTAGATTTAGCTGCCACAACAGCATACTTAGTTTGGTTAAAACAAACGTAGTTATTTAGTTTCTTGAACTCATTATCTAAGTTTGCATGGACATAAATGGAATAAATGGCCAATCGAAAAAAAAAATACTTCATGTTAATACCCCATTTGGAATATTCTGATCTGATTCAGCTCRATTGGAATTAATTTGAAATCTAATTGGAAGGAGAGGGCTCGTTTATCCAAAGATATGCATGTAAACAATCTGATCACGTTAATCTGTTTGAGGAAAACTGACCTGAATGTACATGTGTACCTAATGTCAGCCTGGCTAAATGCTAATATGTCAGGGAAGTAAAATCAGTCGGTTAGTGATGCAACATTTTTATTGGAAACTTTGAAAGAGCTGAAAATTATCAAATGTCTTAATGTTCAAAAGAGTAGGAACGCAGAGTGCAGTAACATCTCCACTGTTATTAAAACCTGCCTCTGGGTAGTCAGCCAGAAGACACAGAACATTTGTTTACATGTTCATCACATCTTCCTGAGGAAAATACACCTGGTCCAGACCTCCTGTGTTTGTCTTTGTCTCTTTCCTGTCCCCCCAAACCAAGCTGGTCGAGGCAGATGTCCACCTGTCCTGAGCCTGGTCCTGGTTCTGTTGGAGGTATCTTCCTGATAAAAGGGAGTTTTTCCTCTCCACTCTCACCAACGTGCTGCTCAGGATGGGAGACTGTGATGAAGTGATTCAACACAATCTGCTGGTTTCCTTAGATTGATTGTTTTTCATTTTTACAGAGATCTGCGATGACATTTCATGTGACTTGGTGCTATAAAAATAAACTGAACTGAACTGAATCACTTCACTGAAGAATCTTTGTGAGCCTGAATGATCCTAGGAGTTATGCTGTCAGGGCAATTTTAGTTGTCCCAGGTAGGGTCTCCCATGGCAGATTGGTCCTAGGTGACAGGCATGACAAAGAATGACTCAACAGATTATGGACAAACAAAAACAAGAAACTCTGTGTTCTTTGCCCAGACGTGGGTTATCGGTGGCCCACCCTGGAGCCAGGCCTGGGRGAGAGGCTTGTCGGTGAGTGCCTGGTGGCCAGGTCTCTGCCCATGGGGCCTGGTCAAGCTCAGCCGAAATGAGCTACATGGGTTTGCCATCCTGTGGGCCCCCCACCTGCAGGAGGGGCCATACGAGCATGATGTCATAGGCAGTAGCCTAAGGGTATGGACCATGGAGCTCTGACCGTGGCCTACTCTTGGGACTTGGAACGTCATCTCTCTGGTGGGGAAAGAGCCTGAGCTTGTGTGTAAGGTTGAGAGGTACCAGATAGATATAGTTGGACTCACCTCAACACACAGCATGGGCTCCAGAACATCTCCTCAAGAGGGACTGGACTTTATTAAACTCTGGACTTGCCCATGGTGAGAGGTCCTGAGCTGGTGTGGGTCTACTTTTGGCTCCTTGACTTTGAGCCTTTTTGTTGACGTTTACCCCAGTAGATAAGAGGGTAGCTTCCCTGTACCTTTGGGTGTAAGGATGGGCTCTGGTTGACATTTGTGCCTACACACCAAATGATTGCTCGGAGTATCCAGCCTTCTTGGAGTTCTTGAGGGTGGGGGTGGGGGGTGCTGGAAGGTGCTCCAGCTGTGGATTCCTTTATTCTGTTGGGGGACTTCAATGCCCAAGTGGGTAACAACAGTGTGACCTGAAGGGGTGAGATTGGGAGGAACAGCCTCTCCGATCTGAACCCAAACGTTCAGATCATGGTGATCACCTGTTAGTGAGTTGACCCAAATGTGTAGTGAGGGATTGTTGGGAATGCCTGGCAGAAGAACCCATCAGAAAGATCTTCAACTCTCACCTCCAAGAAAACTTCAACCACATCCCAGCCAAGCCCAATGAGCCTGAGTGGGCCACGTTCCATGCTTAATTTGTTGAGCCTCGAGCTGTGGCCGCAAGGTTGCAGTGCTTCTTGCAGTGGCCATCCTCAAATTCAGTGGTGGACACCCTGGGTAAGGGAGGTTGTCAAGCTGAAGAAGGAGTCCTATCAGATCTTGTTGGCTGGTAAGACTCTGGAGGCAGCTGAGGAGTATCGGCAGGCCAAGCAGGCCGCAGCGTGGCCCTTGCTGAGGCTAAAGGTAAAGGAGTTTGGTGAAGCCTTGGACAAAGAATCTTGATAGGGTCCAAGGAGATTCTGGCAAACAATTTGGCGGCTGAGGCGTTGGAAGCAGCACTTCTATAATACTGTGCTCGGTGAAGGTGGGGTACTGTTGACCTCAACCAGTGATGTCTTTGGGAGGTGGAAGGAGTACTTCTTGGACCTTCTCAATTTCACTGGCATGTCTTCTGTGAAGGAGGCAGAGTCTGAGGACTTCAGGGTTAGTCTGTCCATAACTGGGGCTGAGGTCGCTGAGGTAGTTATAAAGCTCCATGGTGGCAGGGCTCTAGGGGTGGGTGAGATCTGTCCTGATTTCTTCAAGGCCCCAGATTTTGTAATGCTGTATGGGTTGACACACTTTTGTAACATTGTGTTGGCATTGGGGAGAGTGCCTCTAGATTGGCACACCTGGGTGGTGGTGTCCTTTTCAAAAAGGAGGACTGGAGGGTTTGCTCCAATTACAGGAGCGTCACTCTCTTTAGCCTCCCCAGAAATGTCTTTTTTAGGGGTACTGGAGAAGAGAGTCAGATCAACGGTCGAACCTCAGATTCTGAAGGAACAATGTGGGTTCCTTCCTGGCCATGAAACACTCATTAAGGTCATCGAGGGGTCGTTGGAGTTTGATAAGCCAGTCTACATGTGTGTTGTGGACTTGGAGAAGGCATTCGACTGTGTTCCTCAAGGTGCATTGATGGTGCTATGCAAGTATGGGATTGCAGGCCCATTGTTACGGGCCATTCAATCTCTACACAAGCAGTGAGAGTTTGGCTCGCATTGCTGGTAGTAAGTCGAACCCCTTCGGGGTGGAAGTAGAACCCCCACTGGGAGTGGGACGAGAATCAGAACCTCCAAATCTGAGTCCATGATCCTCAGTCCGAATAGGGTAGATTGCTCTCTCCAGGTTRAGGGTGAAGTTCTGCCTCAATTGGAGGAGTTCAAGTGTCTTGGGGTCATAAGTGAGGGAAGAATGGAGAGTGAGATTGACAGATGGATCGGTGCAGCTTCTGCAGATTGGCAGACTTTGTACCAGTCTGTTGTGGTTCAGAGGACACTGAGCTGTAAGGCAAAACTGTGTTTATCAGTCAATCAGCATTCCTACCCTCACCTATGGCCACAAATTTTGTGTAATGACCAAAACAAAAAAAGATCGCAGATACAAGCGATTGAAAGGAGTTTCTCTTCAGGGCAGCTGGGCTTTTCCTTAAAGACAGGGGGAGAAATTCAGTTATCTGGGAGAGAGTCAAAAGCAGAGCCACTGCTCCTTCCACATTGAGAGRAGCCAGTTGAGGTGGTTTGAACACCTCCTGGATATCTCTCTAGGGAGGTGCTTCAGGTATGTCCAACTGGGAGGAGACCCAGAGGAAAACCCAGGAGACAATGGAGAAACTATGTCTCTCAGCTGGCCTGGGAATGCCTTGCAGTCCTCTCAGAAGACCTGGWAGAGGTGTCTAGGGAAAGAGAAGCTTGGGCTTCCCTGCTCAAGCTGCTGCCCCCACAACCCAACTTTGGATAAAGCGGAAGATGGATGGATGGATGGATGGATGGATGGATGGATGGATGGATGGATGGATTGAATCACAGAAGAAGAGCTTCTGTGATTTTTTTGAAACTTTACAACTCAGTCAGTACTTCTGTTCTGAATAAAAGCCTGGTGCATGTAAGCATTTGTCAGGATTGCTTTAGTTTATTTTGTGCCCATGTAAATCATAAATTTAGATGATTTGATCCTAATACATTTCAAATAGAACATAGCTATTGTGTTAGTCTGAATTCTAGGTTCAAACCTCTTGTCAACCGAGAGGAAAAAGCAAAAATACAAGAATTCTAAAGATTCCAAATGTTCTCTAAAAAGATAAAACCTGAACAAAGCCTGACAAAAGAAAAAATCTGACAAAAATTCACTTGTTTGACAGGAATCTTTTTTTCACATCATTTCCATTTTTAAGTTAAATACAGAAAATAACCCCCAATAACTCAGGAGGTTACCTGGATATACATAAGAAAATATAGAATCAGAACTCTATAAAGAATCATCCTGATGGGCAGTGGAAGATAATATTTTCTGATGTATGAGATCTATGATTCTCATCATGGAAAATGTTTCTTATTTTGATGAAGACAGTGAGTTTTCTCTGTTTTTGTTTCTGTCAGRYTGAYCCTGAATCTCTGGACCAGGWGGGTTTAGGAGGAGCAGAGGATGGAGTCTAAGTGGAGAAACATCTCCTCACACCAGTATTTTATTTTCAATAGTTTCAGTGACCTCGGAGCTCTGAAACCGCTCGCTTTCATCCCTTTCTTCTTCCTGGTCATCGTGTCRCTGTTTGCCAACTCTTTGCTGCTTTATGTCATCATTTCTCAGCGGAGCCTTCATTCCCCAATGTTCATCCTGATGGCCTGCATGTTGTGTCTCGACCTGAGTCCTCCACTAATCATCCTGCCGTACCTGATGTTAAACCTGCTGTTTGACATGAGGGGCGTCTCTCTGAGCAGTTGCCTGGCTCAGATGTTTTGGGTTTACCTTTTAGGAACTTGTCAGTCCACTGTGCTGCTCCTGATGGCTTTGGACCGGTACTTTGCCATCTGCAAGCCCCTCCACTACCAGGAACACTTGTCTTTACCTCGATTCCTCAGGTTTGTGATACCTCTTCTGAGCAGAAATGTGCTCTTGATGACATTAGTGGTGAGTCTAGCAGGACGGTTGCCCTTCTGCTTCTCTAACGTCATAAATCACTGTATCTGTGAGCACATGGYTCTGGTGGAACTGGCCTGTGGTTCCACTGCCATCAACAGTCTGGTTGGGTCGATGTCAGTATTCCTAATTACTGTGCTGGACTTTTGCTTCATCTCTGTCTCATACGTGGTTATATTCTGCTCTGTGCTGCGTTCAGGAACAGCTGGTAAAAAAGCWCTKCACACCTGCATCACTCAYATCATTGTTATGATCGTRAATCTAGCCTTTCTCCTGACAGTTACTATCATGTCTCGGACCAAAAACAACATCCCGGATGCAGCTCGAGTCTTCCTCAGCATGATGTACCTCTTCATTCCAAGCTGTTTTAACCCGATTGTTTATGGTTTTAGAACGACTGAGATCCGACAGCACATCYTGAAGACTCTGTCAGGTTGTCGACAGGTCCAAACTACAAAGTATCCTTGAAAAGGTTGTTTTACAACACATACCTTTTGGACCCCCAACTGATGGAGAGACGGGGCAAGGACCCCCATATATGTTGGAGGAAGATCATTTTCCACAGTTTGGGGTTTTTTCTTGGCTACAACCAAACCAAATTTCAGCTCAATATGGCTAAAAATGGCTAAGTTTTAATTTTTACATTTTAGCTTTGGCTCTCATCATGAATTTTAATTTAGCAATCAGAATTTGTTAAATAATGTTCTCAGCTACTATTAGTTTTCTATGTCTTACACTAGCTGATTTATAGCTCTTTTTAATTAGCATTAGCATTAGAGGTTAGCTTAAACTTGTAATAAGCATTCAGATTGGGTTGAGTTAGCTCTCAGCTAGCACACCACCAAATTTAGACTTCATGTGCATTAAAACTGCTGCTCAGCATGGGTGTCAYGTTGGATGAAACTTACATCCCCTTYTTCCTCTGACCCAAGAGGCTATTAAGCCCAGTGACCATGGAAACAGCCACAGCTATCACAAGACCAGACTGAGTTAAAACTATAAGGTCTGTTGAAATAAATATTTAACCATGAGCGACAGAAGAGATTGGTTCTTACTTATGGAAATGTTCAAATGTTCAGGCCCCATTAAGGTTGACAGAAAAAGATAGTTATGAAATCTTAAGAGATGGATAATAATAGGTTCTGCCTCTAGAAGGAAGGCAGAGGAATGCATTTGCTTTGCAACACGTTTTTAATGGATAAACTGCAAAACGTGCTAAATAAGGATAAATGTAGTTAAAATTAGCAAAACAAAGCTAAAATTACCTAAAGCAAGTTTAAATTAGAATTGAAAAGCAGTTATGGCAGGGGTCCAAGCCAATTTATGCATGTTAACTTTGGCTCATGTCATTTCCAGCATCCAACTTCCTTCAGTATCTGTTGAGCTCCTTCTCTGTGTGTGTACCTATAAATGGTTTTTATCCATTTAGGGTTGACCAAATGTGTCTCCATTTATGGTTCCAATGCTTTATTTGGATATCCTTTAGCAGTAGGTCGAGGCAGGTCAAGCTTTGGTCAAGGGTGTGTGCATGTGTAMTTATATTTGTTCCTTTGTGTTTAAATAATTTCCAGTTTTCCCCAGAACACAGCCTTCTGAGGACTAACACTGTGTCAAAGCTTGGTCCCCTTATGTAGAGATGGAAATCATAGAATGTCCTTCTGAAGATAGTTAGACAAGCAGGTGTGTGTGTGTGTGTGTGTGTGTGTGTGTGTGTGTGTGTGTGTGTGTGTGTGTGTGTGT